TTCCCAGACCACTTGTTCTCAGAGCCACCCAGTGGTCTTGGTGGCAGTGGGCAGTTTATTCTCTTAGATGAGAAACAGTTTGTTTAGATAGTATAATTTGGATGAGAATCAGCACAGATTTTTGGATCTAAAGTTTCTTAAGGTAGGCAGAAGTCCAAATGTGTCATAGGTTTTTAAGGCCCTTTAATTTGTTATATCTTAACAGTCTTAGTATCAGTAGAAATTTAGTAATCCAGTTGGTTGGACCTGGTTAACATTCTTTCCTTTTTCCTTAGTAGTGTGTTTATCGTGGGCTCTAAGATTTTGGGTTTATAAAGTGGAAGAGGTATCCCAGAATGAAATTCTTTTGGGGAGACTTAAAAGCCAGAATTTTTTTTAAAAAAAATCTAAATTACACTACATGATGAGAGGATTCTTTTATAAGTAGTGAAAATCCCTGAATCTTCTTAAACATGGCGATTTGATCCAGGTGAGGTAGACAGTCAGGTAAACAGGCAGGAGTTCATAGTGGTGGTGAGTCTGTGATAGCATCCTTATTGTGTTTTACCAAAACCAGGATTTGCATCGGTTCTATAGTTTAGGAATAAACCAAGTAAATTATCTTTTTTGTGGGGGTAGGTTTCAAGAGAGTGTTTCTCTGTGTAGCCTGACTGTCCTGGAACTCCCTCTGTAGACCAGACTGGCCACAAACTCACGGAGGTCCACCTGCCTCTGCTTCCCAAGTGCTGGGATTGAAGGTGTGCACCACTTGGCTTAAATTTTAATATCTTAGACAGCTGAAAAATATTAGTGTATGCATGTGTATGAGTGTATATATATATATATGTATATATATTGCCTCTGTGTGTGCTTATGCATGTGTATAAATGTGTATGTGTGTATGCATATATGTGAATGTGTGTAGGCACTGCCTTGGAATGCATGCAGAAGTCAGAGACTCTCTCTCACCTTTATGTGGGTTTCCAGGATTGAACTCAGGTCACCTGTCTTGCATGGTAAGTGTGCCTTTACCATCTCACCATCCCCAAAACTTTACAAACTGTCTACATATGAAAGGCCTCTGGACTATAAGCAGTGGCAGCCAATGGAAACGCTCAGCACAGGAAGATGAGGCTCCCCAGCGTATGTATGACCTCTGTACGGATGGCCTCCCAAGCAGCTGGTGCAAGGTGGAAGTGACTCTCAGAGTTCACTTCCTGGTCTTGTTGCACAGGCACTGTTAGCGGCCCTCCCTCCAGTCGAAGGGAGTCTTGCTGTGCTGTCTTTTCCCCCAGTTGATGAAACGGTCATGGTGTTTTCTGCCTCTCGTTCCGCCTCTTCCCAGAGCTGACTGTGGGAAGACTCGGTAACCAGCTCTGGATTTTTAGTTATCAGGCTTAAAAGAATCTTACAATGGTGACCAATGTCTTTTTTGGTAGAGATGGCTCATCCAACCCTTACTGTTTTACAAGACTCCCAGTGCTTATCGTATAAGCAGGGTAGACCTCAGAGTCAGAGGCACTAACTGGCGTGACGTAGGCCAAGAATGAAGACATCAGTTGGTTTTGACAATTAGTACTGTTTTTATTTGACCATCAACCCAGATAAAAGGTGCAATGCAAACTCTGTGTAACAGGTCAAATCTTACAAATAGACATAAATGTTTCCCCATTAAAGTAAGCTTTACAGCCACACAAATTAGCTGGAATACCCCTGACCTAGTTAGGGTTTCTGTTGCTGCAATGAAACACCACGACCAAAAGCAAGTTGGAGATGAAAAGGTTGATTCAATTGACACTTCTACATCTAAGTGCATCATTGAAGGAAGTCAGGACAGGAATGTAAACGGGGCAGGAATCTGGAGGCAGGAGCTGATGCAGAGGCCATGAAGGGGAGCTGCTTATTGGCTTGATCCTCACAGCTTGCTCAGCCTACTTTCTTATAGAACCCAGGACCACCAAGCTAGGCATGACACCACCCACCATGGGCTGGACCCTCCCCCATAAATCACTGCTTAAGAAAATGCCCTACTGGCTTGCCTATAGCCTGACCTTATGGAGGCGTTTTCTTAACTGAGGCTCCCTCCCCTCTGATGACTCTAGCTTGTGTCAAGTTGACATAAACTAGCCAGCACAGCCCCCAAGTAGTAGAATAGTTATTTTGCACATGGGAGTAAAGTCATCTGTGCCATGGTGTGCGTGTGGAGGTCAGGGAACAACTGGAAGTTAGTCTCACCTTCCGTGTTGTTGAGGCAGGGCCTCTCACTGCTGTCGCTGTGCAGCGTATGCCAGGCTACCAAGTCCATGAGCTTCTAGATGCTTCTCTGGTCTCCACCTCCCATCTCATAGTCAGCGTGCTGAGCTCACACGTGTGCTTTCTGCACGGGTTCCAGGCTCACACTGAGGCGCTTCGGTTTACATGGCAGGTCCTTTTACCCAGCACCGATAATTCCTCGTGGTTGACTTTCCCACTGCCAAGGTGGTGGCTGTCGAGCAAGCGAAGCCCTGCTGGCATTCTTAGCCCTTGATTAGTGGAAGCTAGGGACTCAGTACATTTCGAAAGGATTTGCCTCAATCATAAAAATATTACGTCAAACACAGAGGTCAGCTATGTGTGACTCTTAAGGGGGCTGAAGATAGCTCAGGATAACTTGGCTCTGGCCTTGTAAAATTCCATTTTTCCATAATCATGGAAATGTAAAAAACAGCGAAACCCCAGCATCTCTGATGTGTGAGGCTGCCCTGTGGGTAATTACGGTGGCCATACTTGTTTCCTGGGTGTCATGGTTCAGAGAGATGTCTCTCCGGGTGTGGGAGTGGGTGACACTGCCATGCACACTGAGTTGTTCTGGGCAAGTGCTGGCTGCAGTAGAAAGAGACAAACCCTTGGAGTGACAAGAGTTGGTGTCAGTCACTTTCTGAATGACTCACCACATCAGGTGTCTGTGCCTGCTGCATGACTTTGAGCTTTACTGGGATGTTCTGCTGGGCCAGTTAGCTTCAAGAGAGTCAGGCTGGCTGCAGAGGGCAGAAGCAGCATCTTCGCCAAGAATGTTCAAGGTCCTGGATTCCTTGCTCAGCACCACAAAGAAGAAACAAAAATGTGGACAATGACGTAGCCCTACTCTGCTCTGCCATAGATGGTTTGTTGAGCTATGAGCCTCAGTACTGTCTTTAAGTTTTATTTAGGCCTTCCTTCCTTCCTTCCTTCCTTCCTTCCTTCCTTCCTTCCTTCCTTCCTTCCTTCCTT